GCACATCCTGAAAAGTGTGATTGAATTTACTAAATTTTGACAAGTTTTTATATGATCATATAATATTGATACGTATTTCACAAGAAATTTTGATAGGTGTCAAAAAATAATAGCAATGCGTAATGTATGTTAGTTAAATTTACATGATTATATAACATTTATTGAAATATTAATTTTTACAACGAAAATTCAATCACCAATATCCACTATTATGCATAAAGACAATTTATATTTTTATTTTGGCAAAGATTATGTATAGCAGTATAGGAAATCAAATGTATGGTAAGTCGATTATGAATAATAGCAAATAAATTAGTGCATACTTTATCATTAATGACATGTTCACACGATTTCAAAAGAGAGTAACTTTGACATAGTTCGGTAATATGAACATCTATTATAAAATCCCCAACTTATGTACACCAATTGATTTTTGTTTTTTCTAAAAGAATATACACCAACTGCATTAATATTTATTTCAAAACATGACATTTCTAATAACATAGTAGTATATAACTATATACTAAAAAATAGGAGTACAGTCAGAGCTGAGGAAGGATGAATTCAACAACTTCAGTAATACTATGGTCGTCAACCCCAGGGATGGGCCAAAACTTATTTGTTAACACCTATAAAGTAATCAAGCCAAGTGTATCTTTGTTTAAATTTTAGAGTAGTTAGTAAATTATTCACTTGGCCCAAAAAAAAAAAGAAGTAAATGATGCCACTTGGTTTATAACAAAGAAAATTTAAATTATGAAGTAGAAGGAGTCGAAAATATTCGAAAACAGTTATAGACGGGATTATATATATGAATATATCTACCCATTAATTTAAAACCATTTTTTTCCTAGTTGCTAAAATATGACTTTATCGATTTTGCTTAATTTTCATCTTTAAAGACAGAAAAACGAATACTAGTGTATTATCCATTGTGTTTTGAAAGACGTGTTATCCATTGTTGTCGCCAAAGAAACATAGTGTCGCCAAACAATTCTCCATAACCATAATCAATAGTAAATCAGTAAATTAAATAGAAGTGAGAGCCCGAGCGAAAATTGAATTACATCCACTAATGAGTGTTTCTTAGACACAAAGGCAGCTATAGCTTAGGCAAAGCAAAAGTGAGAGCTAGCCAAACCGCACTTAATTTCACGTATATATCCCTATAATATATCTTCCCTTATGCTTTGTTTTGTGCTTAGGAACAAGCAAAAGCTTAAATCCGGAGGAGTTGGTCTGACATTTTTACAAAAAACATAATCATTGCTTTTAGTCATTATCGAGTCAAAGTGTGTTTCGCGTCTTTTGGTTGTTTTCCAAGTTACATGTTACTTAGCTCAAGATTCAAGCTTTTGGACAAAGTTTGGTTAAAACAACGTGTGAGTTAATAAGGAGGCTGGAGTACAGGAAAAAAAGAGGAACGGTCGATCATGTCACTCCTTGACAGCTTGACTATGGATCTATAGAACTATCTTTAGTTAATATAATCCGAAAATTTGGGGGCAAGAATCTTGAATTTCTCTTCTTTTAGGACTCTTATATTAGTGATGGTGTGTATTGTGATGAATCAAAAGGCGAAGTTGTTTTCTTAACAGATTTCTCCAAACTAAAGAAGTTAATGTTATATCCTTAGTCATGTACACAAACCTTGAAAATTTTAAAAGTATAGGACTATTTTCTATATTTCCTGCTCACCCTCATGTTTTCGTTTTTAAAAACAAATATATATTAGGGTCAATTATTTGGCATGGAAGGCTAAATAGTAAGATTGGTGCTTATGATTTGTTTGTAGGTTCTAAAACTTTGGTTTGGATAATAAAACTTTTGGTAAGAATGTTAACATTTCTTTAAAAACGAAAATGGTGTAGCTTTACAATCGAAAGATCGTATGACTATACAAATATTTCCATGGCAAAACAAGGAAAAAACATGAAAACATAAATCAGCGAAACATTTTCAATCCATCCATCCACTCAACAAATGCGGAATTGTTAATAGAGTTAGACGAAGTGATTACGATTTTGTTGTTCGTCTCGGTTCCAATGCTTGAGACGAAAGACGAATGCAAATTGTAGAGCCAAATAACCGAGACACAAAACACTATAGAAGCCTCTTTAATGAAAAGTTTAGCTATTTGAAAAAAAGGATCACCATCCACGTCTATTTTTGTTACGTTACTTCAAACGCATATTCAGCTGAAGAATTTAACAATTAAAAAGGTCAAACACTATTTGAATAATTCGAAAACTTGCGGGTTTTTGTCTCAGTAATTTTTTAAATATTGAAATATTCCAAGCTTTGTGCTTAATTCGCTTCTTCTCCAGCCTACTCCAGCCACCTCAAAACCTCGTAAATGATTTGTAAATTTTCTCTTGAGGTCGGTGAATTTAACTTTGTGTGGCTTCTTTTTCTCTATTTCTTTCATACCACATAATATGTTAGGGTTTGAGTTTGGTTTTGGGTTGTTTTAGACAACAATCATTGATATTAATTCTTTCTTCTTCTAATTCCCATTGTGTACAATAATCTTATTGATGATTTTTGGTTACTGATTGCTCTCATAGTTTCCGATTTATGTAGTCTAGTCTAGGCTATAGTGATCTTAGCTAGCTATCACAATGTTTTTCTTCTTCTATCAGGTTTGCGTGCAGGAGAATTGAGTTTCCATCATCGCTAAGTTTGCTGATTCTTCACAATGAGTAATGTGTTCCACGAATACGATCAGCAATATAGCGAGCTCTCCATAAATCTTTCAAAGAAGTGTTCCTTGGCTTTTTCTCTCAAAGGAGGTAAACTGATATCTCGAATCTCTTCCTCTTTTTTTTTTTTTCTTTAATAACCAAAACGTTTTACCGATCACTATAGTCTATAATCTTTTCAAACTAGGCGAACAGAGGAAGTTAATTAAATTAGAGTTTCCTCTCCTTCATGGATACTTGAACTAATGATCTTGAAAACTAAAAAGGTTTCTAAGAGAAGTGTAGAAAAAAAAAAAAGATACAGAATCTATTAGAGATATTTTGGTTTATGTTTGATGTGGTATTGTATCTTTTAAATCATCATCATTTTTTTGTCCATTTTTTGCCTAGCAGATACATAGATGATACTTTACTAATTTACAGGAGAGAAGAAGGAGAAGCTGTCCGAAATAACATATGATCTGGAAAATGCAGAAAAATTGGTACGTGGATATAGAAGTATTCTATCTATGTTTCCCCTATGATGATTCTCTGCCTTTTATTTCACTAGATTTCGAAAATGGATCATGCAGCAAGTAACCTTCCACCCAATATCAAATTCATCCTTCTTGAAAAATTAAGGGAATCCAAATCTAGTCTAAAAAGATTGAGAAATGAAATCAAGAGGAACACATCTGAAAACTTGAAAGTTACTACTCGAGAAGAAGTTCTTGAAGCTGAAAAGGCGGTATGTAAGGACATGGTTTTGTTCAGTCTAATATAATCTTGATCTTGCTAGTAAAACACATTTTGGTCTCTTTTTATTGAGTTAAGGATTTTGCTGATCAAAGATCAAGATTGATGAAATCAACCGAGGGTTTGGTTCGAACTAGAGAGATGATTAAGGACAGTCAAAGAAAATTGCTGGAGACTGAAAATATTGGTATTTCAATACTCGAGAACTTGCAAAGGCAGAAAGAGTCTCTCCAAAACAGCCAAGCTATGGTAGACTTTTCTCTTACTTAATAGGTCCTCTAGTTTTTGAAACTATATATTTTTCAATATCCCAACAAGGTGAATTGAACTAAGTGGCAAATAAAAGGATTATTTAGGGATCTTCCATGAAGTAGACTACTTTTCTTTATCTACGACATCATCGACTGGGCTAAAACCTAGTGAATTTGAACAAGACTTTTCTCTTATTTCATATTCATTGATTCATTATAGATATATATATATATATATATTATTTATTTTTGTATGAATATAATAACTAGTAGCTTTTCAAATAGTTTGAGATGATCTTTTTGCTTGGTATTGCTTTAACCAATGTTATAACGTTGTTACAGCTTCATGAGATAGATGATACTGTCAAAGAGAGCCGGTCAATCGTGAGAAGCATAAAGATCAAGGAATTTTTTACTGTGACTGCACCAATTATCATTTACTTTTTATTCAAACTCGTCAAGTAAGCCTTGCATGCATGCGCTTCCTAACCTGATCTCTGACTTTTGCTTCCTGTTGTATTCTTGACTTGTCTACGTTAATCAAATATGAAATAACTTTTGTTTATTCTTCATATATCCGATCCAAAACTAGAATTTCCATACGCTATTTTGGAATATTTTTTTCTAAATATTTTATTACATAAAAATTTGTTTTCAAAATTAGTAATAGTATTTCATATGATTGTGACACGATTTGCAATAGATTTCTATTTTAGAAATAAAAATAAAATAAGATTGGAGCAAACTAAACTCTTAACAATTTATATATGTGGTCAAATCTTGTATTCAAATGACAAATGGGTGGTTCACCAGATCAATGTGAATAAGAACATATAAATAAATAACGATAATAATATTAACCGACATAACAGTAGTACTTTCCTACATGTTGAGCCGAAGTTGAATTTTGACATTGTACTATATCTTAGCTGTTAATAAAGAAAGAACAAAAAGTTAGAACGACACATTTCATTGTACAATCATATCAAATGTATATATGTAATGTAAAGAAATGAATAGATAAGTAACTAAATAAATAAACTTTATAAAACTTGCTCTACTTTAGCATCTCAACCAATAATGTAATAGACCTAGAAATTAAATCCACATATAGTTTAAGGGACTTAAACAAAATTGAGAAAAAATGAATTTGTTTAAACCAAAATAGATATATCAACAAATAATGACTCAAAATATAAAGTTTAAGTCTCATTATATTAGACCATCCCCATAAAATAAGTCATCCATATTCATATCATATTAGTGATCTTTGGGATTTTTTACGTGTCATCGTAAGCCTAGAATGAGAGGAAGAGACAGTTGCATAGCCATAGATGACTTGCCGGGCTCGCTTGGTTACACTTCTTGCCCCAACACACATATATAAATAAGTAAATACTTTTTCGTATTATATTACGTACGAAAAAAAATCAACTAAAACTATGTAGATAAGTAAATATATATAAACCATCATCTCCATAATATAAATCGAATATAGAGTAATCATAATACAAGCTACCGGCAAGTCATCCTTGGCTGAACAACAATGGCCTTTTTCCCACATTCAAGGCTTTAGATGAGACAATCCATTCACACCTTCATTTTCATTCTGTAAGATTCCCTAACCATAATTAATACTCATAATGGACGAAAAAAAAAAAATGAGAGCAAAAGAGGTGTTGTGAAAATTCTCTCGTTTGTGAATGTAGTTTTTGTTCCAAGAATTGTGGAGATAAATAGCAAACGAAAAAAAAACATTTGGAGAAAAGATGAAGAGATCTTTCAAGTTTGTATGTGGCATTGTCTTGCTCTCTTGAAGTATAAGGTGTATCGTACTTATAGATCTTTCTACCAGTTTCCAATTGCTCATTAATGTTTTGGCTTTGCTGCATAGGCTCGTCTTCCAATAGCTTCGTACATTTATGACAGTTTTATATGTTCATAATTAGTCTTCAATATATTATAAGTTTATATTCTAATTCCTCGAGAGAGGCATGAATCATGCTATATTATAGATTTAATCCCAGCAATGAAAGGTGGATATATAATGCACGTATGAGGAACTTTACTATTATACTATATATGCACATGAATTTATTCTGGTTGTTTTTGTAATATTATTCAAACTAACCAACCAAAGAACGAAAAAATTAATCTTTAGTATACTCATGACCTTCTATTTTACTAAACTTAACTTTTTTTTTCTCTTGTAATAAAAACTTGTCACGTCATAAATCATAATATACTGATATATGATAGACAAACCAAACTTTAGTTCTCTTGCAATCTAAAATGAATTTCAACTGATATGTTTTCTTATAAACATCGAAATGGGTACACAACTCTAACCAGTGGAGAATTGAAAAGAAAAAATAGTACATTTGTATACTATTTAAGGGAAGTACTGACAATGGTATAAAGAAGGAAGTGTGTACTTGAATAAGTTATCGAGTTATGTGAAGTCTTTATCATACAAGTACACTTTTACATATTTAATTTAATAACTCACATTTCAACCAATAGAAAGTACAACTACATTATTTTTTCTTTCTCTTTTAGTTTTAGCTCCTTGTCCACTGTTCATGTTTCACTGGGATGATTTTCTCTAGAAAGCAATCGTATATCCTTTTTCTGCAACACTGCTGTTTCGTCTGTTGTATATTGCAATGCTTCGGGTTCTCAAAGTATAGTAACGCAAGGCGAAAAAAAAAAAAAAAAAAAAGTATAGTAATGCAATTGTTAATAAAAAAAATGATTTGACTATCTTCTGATCAAAATTTAAATAAACATAACTATATATACATCTTCTACATTATAACATTTCTTAATCTCGTGTATTGTTGTTTTTTTCTTTTTGGTAGTTCATAAAGCATTAAACGTTGTTATAGGATCGATCAGATCGTTACTTGTGATGGTTGAGGTGGATATTCCTTCCAATCACAGAATCCTAATCATATCAGTATAGTCATTTTCTTGTTCTCTAAAGTTCTATAAAATAATTGATTTATTAGTAAATGTAACAATCTACGACATTTAAATGTCTTAATTCGAAGATTAAAGAGTGATTTATTTTGGTTTTGGGATAAAACTGAAAAGATTGTGACCCACGTCGATTGCAATCTGCAACTACTGCCATCAATAGATGATTTAGTCAATTTTAAAATTAATCACTATTTGCAACTAAATAAATGTTGATCATGCGATAGCAATATCCTAATGGCTAGTGATGAAGTTATAAATGGTAAATAATGGCCCCTTCCCTCCTACTTTTCAATTTTGGAAAAAATATTATTAATTAATCTTTTGAAAACTTTAGAGCATCTCCAATGAGTTTAAAACATTAATATGATGTTACATATTGAGTTTAATATGTATTCTTATGGTAAAATATGTATTCACTTGAGCATGTTACATATTGGAATAATTATTGATTATACTATCTGAATTTAACTTGAAACTTTGTACATACGTAGGAAAAAAATATCGTGTTGTATAAAAGAAGTCTCCAATGGAGTTTTTTATTATATATAATTAATGTGTGGTTAACAAAAATAATATAAAAATGGAATACATATATAACATTAGAAATAAATTACCAAATTCGTAAATTTTAATTAAAGAATCATCCAGGTGTCTTTAAAAAATAATTTGAACAGTACTATACAAATGCACAAATTTGGAACAATGCTACATACACATAAGAGGAGTGTTAAGGTAGCCAATGGCAGTGATTGTGAGAGGACCAGGGTAGCCTGCCTTCTTCAACTCCGATTCTATAGAGTGAGCGACCATTCTAGCATCATAACCATCGGGAACCGGACAGCTGTTGATGTCCCACCACACCATCGTTTTTGGCTCCTGCTTCGCCTCGTTCGTATTTCTTGAATCCATGGTTTTCAACATACAAATATCAGTCATCCTCAAAATTCGGATTAACAAATCGCTTCTTTACTCAGATGAAATCACCGACCGATGGATGGTGCGGCGGAATAGGGCAAGTTACACATGTTTACCGATACTAGTGGCTGTTTTATATGGGCTCAGATTCGTGGCCTATTAGTTACGGGCCCACAATTTTTCCTTTTCTTTTTCATCTGGTATATATTCATCCATCGGTCGGTGAAACATAGTGTCGCCAAACATAGCACCAGATCTTAGACTCGTGTTATCCATTGTTGTCGCCAAAGAAACATAGTGTCGCCAAACAATTCTCCATAACCACAATCAATAGTAAATCAGTAAATTAAATATATAGAAGTGAGAACTCGAGCGAAAATTGAAGTACATCCACTAATGAGTGTTTCTTAGACACAAAGGCAGCTATAGCAAAGGCAAAGCAAAAGTGAGAGCTAGCCAAACCGTACTTAATTTCACGTATATATCCCTATAATATATCTTCCCTTATGCTTTGTTTTGTGCTTAGGAACAAGCAAAAGCTTAAATCCGGAGGAGTTGGTCTGACATTTTTACAAAAAAATTAATCATTGCTTTTAGTCATTTTGGTTAATCATTGCTTGAGCTAAGTAACATGTAACTTGGAAAACAACGTTGTTTTCCAAGTTACATGTTACTTAGCTCAAGATTCAAGCTTTTGGACAAAGTTTGGATAAAACAACGTGTGAGTTAATAAGGAGGCTGGAGTACAGGAAAAAGAGGAACGGTCGATCATGTCACCCCTTCAACACAAAACTTCCAACATTTCCCATCTTTATCGGCACTATCATCAATGCTTGGAAGACACCTTCCAAGACTCGGATGTTCTCTACAACATATCGATTTTTCTTCAGATATCCACGGTGCAATGTGTTTTTGTCCATTTATTTGAATGGATCCTACATTTAATAAAAAAAATATCATGTGAATTGATTTTCCAACATCAAAACTACATGACAAAACATTAACGCTTTAGTACTAAATACAAAAAAAAAACATACCTATACATAGCACAATAGCAGCAAATAAAACAAAAGAGACAACATTTGTTTTAACCATCTTTCTCTTTTTTCTTTGTTAAATCAAAAGATTACGAATTTTTGATATTTTTGTATTTGAATGAGAATGAAGAAAGAGTTGTTTCGTATTTATAATTAGAACTGTAACTCTATTCAAGCGATCCTTCAAATTAACATTAGTAAGGAATACAATATATTTGGTCAACCAAATTAAAAACATGTTTCCAAAAAGATTAGATTCCAACTTTGACTACATTATTACAAGATATACATGACTTATTTAGATAAACGTATTTGGTAATTTGCAAGGTAAAGCAAACAATTATTTTCTAAGGGTTTATTCTGTCAAGAGATATGATTAGATACTCATTCATTTCTCAATATTCCAATTCACTAGTTTAGGAAATTATACTTATTGCATAATCTTGAGGCTCACGCGCCTACTACTTGTATATAAACAAGCTCAATATCTCTTTGTGAAATATATCAAACATACATCTTCTACAAATTCCAAAATCAATGGGCAATAAATAGATTTGTCTAATTAAAAAAAAACAAATACTGATATGGGATTCTAATAGAAAAAAATGAAAAATATACATTCTATTTACGCGCATTTAATCCAAGGAAAATGTTGATCTTCACTATATATAATGTCTATCAAATTAATTCTCTTGCGAAGGACTCTTTGTTTGCTTTCAACCTAGACTTTGTCTAAGGGAGTGAATATCAGTAGTTGCAAAAAAAAAAAAAAAAAATCATGATTGAAATATTGTTCAAGTTGTATCTAAGTAACTACGAAAATATGCTTAAACTGATTTTTCTTTTATAAATTATTTTATAGAAATTTTAATATGTGTTTGTATACTTATCAACATATTTTCACATGTTTTTAGAAACTAATTGTAATAACAACTCGATTCTAGCATCTCTTTATTAATTAACTTTATCGATTTAACTAGACTTTATATCCTATGGATTTAAATGGTTCAGATAATTAAGAAATCCACCCCAAAACACTTGGATGCGATTCTATCGCAAAAGATCGGATCAACTGATAAGAACATCTAAATAAAAATTAAAGTTTATTAGCTAGTTTTTTTTTTTTTTTTTTCACTGATGAACAAAAACCGTGGAACCAATGAAATTCGTATAAATGGGCTTCATAAGTGGCCCAAGCCTTGTTCCTTGAAAGGGCAGTTCTGCCATAGCTAATTTTTTTTAATCAAGCCCAAATATGGTTTGTCCGTAAATGAGGGATCTCCTTTTACCCAAATCCACCGGAAAAGTATTAGAGACAAATACATCATCTCGTAAGTAATGTTTCATTTGATAGAATAATAACTTGCGGGAATTTTTCTTTAAGAAACACATGGCTTGGGCCAATTCATGGACTTCAAGCCCATTTACACTAATTTCATTTGTTCCACGTGGCTTGTTATCAGAGAGAGCAAGAATTCTAAAACCTTTCCCACATAAACCGTCGTCCGATGAAACTCTATAACCGTCAATAACCGCCGCGATTTGAAAAATAAATACAAAAATCTCATTCTCCATTAAACCATTTAACACAACATACGAAAAACTGGTAAATCACAAAA